ACATACATACATATATATATATATATATATATATATATATATATATATATAACTAATGAAAAAGACAAAAGCACTTGAAATGAAAACTAAATAAATAAATATATATATATAATACTAAAACAACACTGCTATTAACCAAGAAATTAATAATATAAATTCAAGATAAAAAAAACACCAGACAGTTCAGGGACACCAAGTTAAAGGAATATAGTTTAAAAATAAATATAAAATAAAATAGCCACGTCCATCTTGCTAGCCATTACTAAAACGCAAATCTTAGCTGTGTCAAATATCTAGTGTGACATCATACTTCAAAGATGATCTGATCAGAATTAGATTTTAGATTTGACATTAGGTTTCACCGTTGATATTTTTGCCAAAACCCATAGAGGACGAGACAGCCTGGCTCTTTTCCTTCATAATTTCGTCATCGCTGGAGACATCACCTGCGCCCTTTTTTACACGTCTTTTACTTTTCTTGTGCCGTGGAGGAAGTTTTTTAGGGAAGGAAAACATGGGGAAGATTACCAACAACATTGCCACAGCACACAGAAGAAACCCACTCCACCTGAGAGAGACAGACACAGAGAGGGTTACAGTGCTGTTAGGTTTACTGCATGTTAATTAATAAACAGCAAACGAGAGACAAGATTTTCCTCACCAGTTTCCCACAAACCGTGGGTCACTCTGATCAATATTGACAATGGCACCGGGGTCGACATAGAATCCGATCAGAATCCCACCCAGCAGATACCCAGCGGCTGGTCCAAGAGCTCCCATTACATACATGATAGCTAAACACGCACAAAACGAGAATTCAATTTCTTTAGCTGTCATATGCTACTGTATGTGGTTACAGACTTTGCATGGCAGAATTTAGGTCACATAATTTTTTTAGAAAGTAGAAAAAAAACGTGTTAACCATCAGGCTAAAAGGCACTGTTGTGTAGGGTGACCATACGTGCCATTTTCCCAGGACGCGTCCTGGCCAGGATTTCTATATTGCCTAAAATATCTAGGGTTTGGCTTTGTTTGCGTGTGCAGACTGATCGGTGTATGACATCGGTTCCTTGTGTTTTCGAAACGCTGTCGAGGTACTTTGAATCAAAGCAATATGGAAATCCTGGCCAGGATGCGTCCTGGGAAAATGGCACGTAAATTCATTTGGACAACTTTAAAGGCAGTTTTCTCAATATTTTGATTTTTTTTGCACCCTCAGATTCCAGATTTTCAAATAGTTGTATCTCGGCCAAATATCCTATCAAATGTCCTATCCTATCAAACCATACATCAATGGAAAGCTTATTTATTCAGCTTTCACACCCTACTGTTGTGGACAAAACCTAATCTCAATTGTGGCTTCCTGTCAAACACATTCATGTCATACTCAGACACGCACATATAGTTTTATTGACTGGTACAAACAGCTAATATTTGCAATTTTGAGATTATCAGCATGGACTGTTACCATGCCCACTTAGCTAATTATAAAATGTCAGTTCCAAATGTTGATTTTCTGTTTAAAAATGTTAAATGTTTAAATGTTCTGGGTATGAAACCTGAAGAAAATCTTCTAAAATATTGTTCCATGCATATACAGAAGTAGTAAGACTAACACACCGATCAGTCCACATGAAATCAAATCAGATTATGTAAGATTGTTACTGCACAGACTCTGTCTTAGTTTTGTTATTGTTAACATAAAACTAAAACTATACAAATGTATCTATTCATAAATAGATCAAACCTATTCATAAGTGATAGAGTCTCTTCAGAAAATTACCTGCTAAATTCATATGGATTACTTTTATGATCTATTTAATATGAACTTTTTGAAGCGACAAAGTAATGGTTGCGTAGATCTCATGTAAGAAAAAACATGGCCCCAAGCGACACACTTTACCTGATTGACTGACCCAGCCATTCAACAACACACAGACAAAGCCTCACTTCGACTCACCCAGGTACAGGGATGCGTTCTCTTTCTTCACATTGTCATCCAGGTAAGTTGGTCCAAGGGTGTATATGGGAGTCGATCCCATTCCCACGAGGATCTGAGCGCAGATGAACAGCGCCACGTACAGGGCGTGCTCACTCTCCTCCCGGTCCCACTGGCACCTGGACAGTGCTGGCCTCTCCTGCCTGCTGCCACTCCCGCCGGCACAGAGCCCCTCTCCTCCTACTGTGCTGTTCAGCTCCTCCAGCTGATATGGCGGAGAGATGAAGTGAGGTAGGGAGAAGAAGGCGGCACCCACAGCAATGAACATGCCCCCTACAGCCAACCACCGAGGCCTCTGGCCCCGCCCACCGAAGTAGCTGATGAACACCACAGCGAGGAGACTACCGATGTCAAAACAGCTGACCAGAAGACCTGACTCTGAGCTCCGCAGACTGTACCGCTTTTCTGGAAAACAGGATCGTTTAGTATAAAATTCATAAATATACTATGAATATATGTTGAAACAGAATATGGTTTGAGTTGAGATATTATTTATAGAGGAGGGGATGAGACTGAGAAGAGATTAAGATGAGATGAGGTTGAGAAATAATAGATTGGAATGTGATGAAACAAGAGAGATGCTGAGAGGAGAGCAGATTTAAATGAGAAATTTGAGATTGGGGTGAGATGAAAGGAGACTAATGAGACAAGATTGAAATGCTTTTAAGAGGAAGAGAGAATAGGATGAGATCAGATGAAACAACATGAGAAATAAAGAGATGAGACCGAAATGGTATTAAGAGGAGATGAGATTTTAAAAATTGGAGTTTGTTATGAGATGAAGACTGTAAGGAGGTTGGGATGAGAAGAGATAACAAGAAACTCTGGATGAAGACATGAGACTGAAATGTTACTGAGAGAAGGCAAAGTTGGTATGATATGGAGATCAAGAGGAGGAAACATGAAAAGAAGTTAAGAGATTACATTCAGAGTAGATGATATCCAGGGTCGGGAAGCACATTTAAAATACAAAATATGAGTAACTGTATTTCATTAGTTTAATTTTAAATGGGTGGTAATCAGATTACAGTTACATCCGAAAAGTACTTTAGATTACCAAACTGATTACTTTAAATTTTAATGTCATTTATTTCTTTTAAACTTTATTGTAAACTGTAACAGGCAATTAGTATCAACAGCAATTGATTTTCTGACGCATCCTAAGCTACAGTTCTGCCCATTAGTTTTATACTCCTTGCAGAATTTGAAAATTGTAATCATTTTAACAAAATGATGATGTGTACATTTTTCTTATTTTGTTTAAAGATCTTTTTCTTTTTCCATTTAGTGCTGCCCTTCAGAAACGAATACTTCCATGTTTCCTAAAGGACAAAATAACTAACCTGTTCACCCGATTCAAAAAGTTTACACGCCCTGGCATTGTGTTTCCTTCTTGAACGGCAATAAATTATTTTTTTATATATAAATTCTTATTTATTTATTTTAAAGATTGTCTGCATTTGCTTCCTTCAAGAAATGAAGCAAAGCTGATGTTAAAAATAATATGCAGAGGAAAACTAAGTCCTATGTTTGGTGGGCATCACTTTTCTCTAGAAAACCTTTTGCATTGCATACCTTATTAGTATTTCAAAGTATTCTAAAGTATTTAGATTAAGTTACAAAACTTGTGTAATCTAAGGAAATATGTCACAAATTACTTTTTAAAGCATGTATTTTGTAATCTGTAGTGAAATACATTTTAACCTTCCCAGACCTTGATGATATCTAGATAAGAGACTGAAAAATTGGGAAAAGATGAGATGGCGAAATTAAGAAATTCGGATCAATATGGGGTGCTGTGTGTACATTAATGAGGAAAAAAAATTAACTTAAATGATTTTAGCAAATGGCTGCAATATAACAAAGAGTGAAAAATTTAAGGGGGTCTGAATACTTTCCGTACCCACTGTATTTGCTTTTATGATCTAGAAGTAAATAACATTTTTTAAAAAGTATTAATTAATTTTAAAAGGTTCAATGCCTTATACTTTTGGTCCCCACTTTATATCTGTTGTTTTATTTTCTCTCCTTATGGATTGCAGGTTTGACACTTATTAAAATTTAAATACTACAAATGTAAATGCTTTTTGATTCAGTCTAATTAAAGCATTAAGATCATTTAGAAAAGAGCTGAACCTTGTACACCACTTTAACCAGCTCGCTGGAGGTGAACGCATTTCCGCTGTTCTCCTGCAGAACGTTTAGGATCTGCTGTTCTCTTGCATTGCGGTGAGTTATGTACTCACAGATCTTAGAACATGCGTCTTGGACCACTGGACCATGACCTGACACACAAATACACATAAGCATTTCTTAGTGTCACCGAAAATTTTTGGTAGAAAGCACTCTGAAAAGAAAATGATCATCGCACATGCACTCACCTGGATATATGAGGTCAGCCTTCATGCTGAGGAGCTTCTGCAGTGACTTCATGTAATCATGGAGGTCCTCGAACACGGCCGTTCCCTCTCCAAGAATACAGTCACCTGAAAACACAGCTTGCTCCTCCTCCAGGAATAATGCCATGTGATCATCTGTGTGTCCGGGAGTAGACAGCACCCTACGTGCACATACAATATTAAAAAAGCTTATTCAAAAGGAAACAACTAACTACTGTTTTTGCATTTATAAATGTACACACTAAAGCCCTATTCGCACTGGATTAGTATTACCTGGGGACCTTGTGTGATTTTGAAATTACCCCCCCCACATCTGAATTTCGTGTGGTGCATTCGCACCGGATAAGCGAAGCCTGTGATTTTACTCTAATTTACTGACTTATCTCCAGGATACGATGCCAAGGCTTTGAAAGTACCGTTCTATGGTCCGGTTAGATGGGATTTAAAAAAAAGAAACTAATATAGTTTCTTGTCCTGTATCATTTACATTTCACCAGGTTAAAATAATATATCAAGCTCTGTGCTTGATTTATTTGTAACACATTAACCTCAAAACCTTTTCAGCTTTCTAAAGTATTTAGATTAAGTTACAAAACTTGTGTAATCTAAGGAAATATGTCACAAATTACTTTTTAAAGCATGTATTTTGTAATCTGTAGTGAAATACATTTTAACCTTCCCAGACCTTGATGATATCTAGATAAGAGACTGAAAAATTGGGAAAAGATGAGATGGCGAAATTAAGAAATTCGGATGGATGGATGGAGACTGGGATGAGATAAAACAAGACGAGGCTTTAGGTGAAAAGCTGAGATTGAACTGTGAGAAGAGAAGAGAAGAGATCTGCCAGTTGTCAAGTATATTACCTATGGTGGTAATGACACTGCTGAGATAGCCGGACACCATCAGAGACTGGATGAAGGTGAGGTAACACATGCAGAACAGAAAGCAGCGCGAGTCCGACAGGATCCCGTCCACATAGCGCCTCACGGCCAGCCGCGGCAGGCGGAGCGTCAAGAGCGCAGCAGCGCCGCGTCCCTCCGGCTCACGACGCTCTGTCCTGACGGGGGAGCAGTGCGGGGCAGAGAGCAGAGTCTGATCCGCGTCCTGCTCCGGAGCCTGACTGCCGCTGAGCGCGGGGAGGCTCTTAGATTTCAAACCCTGAGTAGACTCCCCACACAAGTACGGGAACGGTTTCACGGGTGCGGGGCCCCTCCCCCCGCCAGCACCGGATGCCATCCTCAGCGCGTCTAGCACACAGACGCACACTGAAACACGAGCATAACAGACTCTCAGATAAACCGGCTGCGGCTTATCATCGACCACAGACAACGGTCCACACCGGCTATCCGACCCGTTTATAAGCGCTGTAGAGACGCAGACATTCTGCGCTGGCTCATTTCAACAAAACAATACCCCTAAACAGATATGCTTTATTACAACTATATATAAACACCCTCTTTGTTTCTTTACAGCACCATTTTCATTTCAATTCGACACATATTCACCAAAACAACACACTGGATCGACGGTCGACCTGCAGCCGGGGGCTCACGCGCCTCTGCGCGGATACTGCAGCGCGCGCGCTCGGCCGCATCACACACGCGCATTCTGACCCGTTATCTGAGCTAGATTAAGAACCACGATTAACGTTAATGCCATCGGCGCCGTTAAACGGTATTCTGTCACCTCCCTCTGCACGCGGCTCCGACACACCATCAGATCTTCGCCGTGTGATCAAAATATCCTTGTCCTTGGACGGAGGGGTAGCACGGGTTGTCCGTTATTCACGGTATCGCTGTCAGCTGTATCGCCTCCAAGCGCGTTCGGTCTGTACCGCAGCGGGGTGCAAGTAAATAAACGTTAACTTCCGGTTCACGATTCCTCTGTCAAAAAATGGGGCTGCCCCACCCCCGTCTGTATTTTAACTCTTTCATGCAGTAAGTGCAAATACTATTTTCCTCTAAATCCAAGGGACATTTTTTTAACCTTTTTTAAAGATTAATTTAATTAAAAATGAATTTAAAATGAAAGCTTATAATACACAATCATAACAAACGCTTTTAGGCTGGCTGAAACAATGCTCTCTACTGACATAAAGAAATAAAGCAACATTTTAGAAAACAACAATCCGTCAAACCATGATCATTTATTTAAATAAGATATATGCACATTTTTGATTAACAGTGATTTAACAGAACATAATTAATCAATTAAATGCTTCCAACAACAAAATCCGCAGGGATGTAGAACATTTAAAATGATTAAATGTTACAAATTAAAGAGACTTGATATTTTTATCTCATTAAATAATTACAGCTATAGACATAATATAATTCCAGTTATATCATTAGCCTCATAAAAGTTGCTTTATTTTACTTTTATTTACATGTTATTGTACACAGTCTCTCATGGAATAAATTATTTTTTGCTATTGTTTTCGTGTGATGCTACATTCATCAGATGGCAGTATATGTCCAAAACAACAATAAAATTTCACAGGATTACAAGGGTAATTACCTTTTACATGTTTTCCCATTTTATGAATGGTTTTGTGTTGCATGATTTATACTGTTTAAATGTGGTCATTTGTAAGGCACTTACAAAATGTGTCTGCTAAATAAATGTAAATGTTAATAGCCTCCTATCAGAGCAGGTTTTCACAGAAGGTCAACATTTGAAAAAAGTGACTAGTCCCTGTGTTCCCTTAAAGGCACAATATGTAATTTTCGCCGCTAGAGGGCGTGTATTCAAAATAAACAAAGAAGCAAAGGCGTAGTTTGATGACGCTGTGATTGAGTGTGGAGTCATGGGAGTTGTCGCACATCCCCACAGCCGATGCAATCCGACTGGACTCGGGCAGAAATCATGTTCATGGATGAGCTAATGATTTATTAACGTAGTAGAATGAAGCAGGGTGAGGCTGAAAGCCGTCGAAGCGAGACAAGGCCACTGAACGAGCGTGACACACGGCTCGAAAGCAGCGGAGCTTTTATTATGCCACAGTCGACCGCTTCCGCTCCTTCCGGTCATGCGTATGTGGGGGGAAAAAACAGCGCTGTTTTATCATACTATCAAATGTAATGTAAATGTATCATACTATATACATTTGAAAGTTCTGTTATTATGCTACTCTGTGCGGTTGTCACCGGTCTAATTAAACGCTCAACATATTAAATCATCTTTGGTGTTTCCATGTTTTCTACAAAACAAAACCGGAAATCGAGGGGTTGTGACGTCATTGGCAGGCGACACAATGACACTATGGACACGGTCCGTGTCACTAGTTAAAATTGCTTATTTCTCTGGATTTAAACATTCTTCAAAACATTTGGGATAATGCAAGTACACAAGTCAGCAAAATATATAACACTGTTCTAGTGGTTTTGGGATATTTTAATAAAAAAATCTTACATATTGTGCCTTTAAGTCCATCTCACTTTACTGGGAACCTTTTATTAGTCACTGTGGGTGATGAGTGTGCTGGGTAAAAAATGTCACAAATTGCTCTTCCACTTCTTGTCATTTGAGCCTTCAGCTGCAAGGAAACAAAAATTTACGTTAACACAGGCAGGCAATAGAGCACAGGTGCACACACACACACACACACACACACATACCCAGGCAGATCTTTCCTTCCTTGTGGAGTTTCTTTAAATGGTGCAGCAAGTTAAACTCTGCTGCTCTGTGCAGGTGTTCAGGGGTCTCCTGGCATATTACAGACAATATTAAAAAAACACATGAAAATCATGTAATGTACACAGTTTATAAAATAATAACTTAACATTTCTATAAATAATGTACTCTCATTCTTCGCACATTGTCTGATAAAGCAGTCACTACTTAAAAAGAACCAACAAATGTAAAGTTAACTTCACATACAGAGGGGAACAAGTGTCTTGAGACCACTGGTGAAAATGTGTTTCTTTTGCATTTTTAGGATTCCATACAAATATTTTCATTGCAATGTGCATCATCAGCATAACAAACTGAGGGAAATTTGAATTTATAAAATAAACATGACTTTCAGAATGCCATGTATAGTATTTGGATTGTCCCACGTCTGAAGAAAGGAGTTCACAAAATCACATACAGTGGGTACGGAAAGTATTCAGACCCCCTTAAATTTTTCACTCTTTGTTATATTGCAGCCATTTGCTAAAATCCGGATAAGCGAAGCCTGTGATTTTACTCTAATTTACTGACTTATCTCCAGGATACGATGCCAAGGCTTTGAAAGTACCGTTCTATGGTCCGGTTAGATGGGATTTAAAAAAAAGAAACTAATATAGTTTCTTGTCCTGTATCATTTACATTTCACCAGGTTAAAATAATATCTCAAGCTTTATGCTTGATTTATTTGTAACACATTAACCTCAAAACCTTTTCAGCTTTCTCTTTCTGCAAATTGTAGCGATATGACAGATCCCAAAATACAATCAAACACTTCAACGCAGCTCCATTCTTCACGAAAGATGGATAAAAAGGCGCACAATAATCATATGCGACTCACAGGACCTCGGTGTTCGGCGAAATATGGTAGGTAGATCATTTGTGGGGGAATTTTTACTTTACAAATTACAGACATGGCCGATTAAGATCACAGACAACCTCCGCAATTATTACAAATGACTGGAGGTCACCAGGTAATACTAATCCCGTGCCAATAGGTCTTAATTCGACCCACTGCATTTATGTAAATACAGGCTTTCAAGACTCGGGATGCATGTGAATAAAAATTCAATTTTATTCTACATTACCATTCAAAAGTTTTGGATTAGTATTTTCTTCTTTTTTTAAATAATACTTTTATTCTGCAAGGATGGTTTAAATTGATCAGAAGTCACAGTAAAGACTTTAATTGTCACAAAAGATTTCAATTTCAAGTAAATGCTGTTTCTTTATAACTTTCTATTCATCAAAAAATCCTTAAAAAATGTAAAATGGTTTCTACAAAAATATTAAGCAGCACAACAGTTTAACACTGATAACAATGAGAAATGTTTCTTGAGCTCCAAAAGAGCATATTAGAATGATTTCTGAAGGATCATGTGTGAAGTAAAATTCAGCTTTGCCATCACTGTTTTTCTTTTAAAATATATTAAAAAGAAAATAGTTATCTTAACATTTCACAATTTTACAACTTCAGTCTTGGTGAGCATATAAGAGACTTTCAAAAACATTTAAAAAATCTTACCGACCCCAAACATTTGAGTTTGACTCAAAAGTTTGCTTAATATGTAAGCATATCATCTACATAATATATATATGTGTGTGTGTGTGTTTACCGTAATGTTGCCCCTTCAGTCTTTATCACATCACCATCACTGACATAGAAATATTTATTCTGTTCTCCAATCACTTCTTCCTGTGGAGGACACCGAGGGAGTTTACTGACCCTCAGCTCTGAATCTGCAACACATGTAGCTACATTAGTGAGGGTTTCTTATATACACCATGGTTTTCATACTAAAATAATGATATTTACATTTACATTATTGGGTAAAGCTGATTTGAGAGCACACGTTCACATATTTATGGCACAAATGTCAAAACCTGTACACAGCATACATATTATTGACCTGTGTGAAAGTTTGAGAGTATATCCTGCACTCCTCCAGTGTGGTCGTGATGCCAGTGTGTGACTATAATGTGCTGTATGGACGTGTCGTGCTGCTTCAGAGCCTCGCGCAGATTGACAATATACTCCGGTACCGCGCGCTCCCCTGCATCAATTAACACTCGCCTGACACAGACAATAAACATTCACACACTTGTTACATTCAATGAATAATTTAAGTGGGTACAGTATATAAAACATGACAAATATGGATTCAGTACTGTATATAAAAACAGTAAAGGCATAATCAGAAAAAAAACAAGCCTTATGCGGCATAATCTGGAAAACCAAGACTTGTGCATTATAGGGAATAATATTCTGAATATTTTACAGTTTGTTTGATACCTTTAGATCAAATGGTGTTGGCGTTTAATGTATTTATATTATTGCATACATTAAAAGCTGTAAAATTATTATAAAAAACATAAAATTGTAATTCCAAAAACGGAGCTTTGTGCAATAACAGGAATGTTTTTCCGAACATTTTAGTCTTGGTTTTATATTAATGTCTAATGAATGTCAAACGTCAAACTAACTTTACCGCCGTCAATGACTAGCTTGTAAGTGGCAAATAGCTCAAACAAGCACATGCATCTCGTGTACCTTCTGCCTGTCCCGACCAGGTATGTGTTGGTGCCCTGCAGTGTCATGGGCCCCGGGTTACAGCCCAAAACACGCACCACTCTCGATGACAGCTGCTCGATACGAGGAATCACCGCGGACATTTTCACCAGAACCACACAGGCACGCCACGAACTTTAAATGACCCCTGACACTCCTGCTACAGAGAAGACTGGAGCATTTCAGGCAGACACTTCCTGTTCAAAAGTCACAGCTTACAAAATAAAAGTCTCTGACGCTCAACGTTTGGATGTTTCTTTTGCTTTTATAATCTATATATTATAATCACGTTAATGGCTTTATATTTAAACACTTAAAACACTACAATGACATTATATAGTCTTTGTGTTCTGCCAATTAAGATATACAGAGAGAGAGAGAGATGTATATGATGGCCATCAGTGTTGGGCTAGTTACTCAAAGAATGTAATATATTACTCGTTACTAGCTACTCCTTTCAAAAGTAATATTGTTACTTTACTTATTAATTTCTGGCAACAGTAATTAGTTACACTACTAGTTACATTATTTCTTCACGCCCCACAGAAGTTGTAACTGTATCATCCACATAAAATTATTCTAGAATGTAACAACATATTTCTGCCTCATCATTTGACCAAAATCCACATTTGATCGCAATCAGAAGTTATTACAAACACTCAGTGGTGATTGATAATGACATTCAAGTAGAAGTGTTGTATTAATCTCATTAATTGTCATGTGCAACTTGAAGCTAATTGTAATTTCTCCATTACCCATATACGATTATATTTCATTATGTATTTTATCAAATCATATAAGTTTGTAAGTAACTGTTTAATTTTCCAAAAATATTTTTAATTTTAGTAATATAATGTACCACATGCTGATCAGAGGGATGTGGGTGGGATGTAATGCCAGAGTAAAGTAAAGCCACAACTTACACAACAGTGTTCAGATCATCTTATTTCCTGACAAAATCAATATAATGCAATATTTATATCTGCTGAATGTAAGCTTTTCCATAGACTAATAACTAGTTTCTGCCCATCACTGATGGCCATATACATCCCGCCATCAGAGTCAGCATACTACAGCGAAGACATGTTCTACACATTAGAGGAAGAGACAAGCCACTTGCTCATCTGCGGGGACCTGAAAGGCAATTTCTAAATAACACCTATGCTCACAGTAATGAAGGTGTCAATCTTGCTGTCAAAGATATAAATTACATATTTTAAAAATCAGCAAAACAATACAAATTGAAAAAAATGGAAAAAAATCAAATACCCAAAAATGACAAAAATTGGTTTGATCAGGACTTCCAAACTATGCGCAAAAAAACTGAGAACATTGTCAAATCAGAAACACAAAGATCCAAATAATGCAGAGATCCGCCTTCTTTACAGTGAAACACTAAAACAATAGCCTACAAACTTACACTCAGAACCAAAAAAGCCCAATACACCCAAAAAAAAAACAAACACAATAATTGAGAAGTCAGTGAACACAAACCAATATTGGGATAATTGGAACAATCTGAAAAGAAAAAAAAAATGATCATGAAGAATTGGCAATCTAAAATGGAGAAATGTAGGAAAGTAATTTCCAAACATTGTTTAATAAAGTACAAACAGACACAAACTGTAAGCAAAATCAAACAGTCAACCAATTGGAAAAACAAGAATTAACAATCAAAGATAACCAAAACCCATTAGATTGCCCAATAACTGATAAAGAACTTGAAGAAAAAATAAAAAACCTCCAACTCAAAAAAGCATCTGGACCTGCTGGGATATTAAACGAAATGATAAAACACACAAGCAGTAAATTCCAATAGGCCATTCTAAAACTATTCAATGTAGTTCTGAGTGTAGGTTACTTCCCTGACATCTGGAATCGAGGCTTGATAACATCAATCTTTAAAAATGGAGATAAATTTGATCCTAACAACTACAGAGGCATCTGTGTGAGCAGCAACCTGGGAAAGTTATTCTGTAGCATAATAAATGCTCGACTATAGACTTCATCACCACACACAATGTACTGAGCAGAAGTCAAATCGGATTTTTACCAAATTACCGTACATCTGATCACATCTATACATTACATACTCTAATTGAAAAACATGTTAACCAAGATAAAGGTAAAATATATGCATGCTTTATTGACTTTAAAAAAGCTTTTGACTCAGGTTGGCACCAAGGACTATTCTACAAACTTATTGAAAGTGGCATAGGAGGTAAAACCTATGACCTTATCAAATCAATGTACACTGAAAGTAAATGTGGCATAAAAATCAGCACCGAACGTACAAGGTATCTTTCCCTGGAGCGTGGAGTGAGACAGGGCTGCTGCTTAAGCCCAATGTTATTTAACATGTACATCAATGAACTAAACTAAAACTATAAACAAGGTCTTCTGTAACTGACTTTTCCAAAGATGGCTTAGCTGCACTAGCTTAAACAACATAAGCTTTCACCAATATCAAATTTAAAAATCATTGGTTACATGATTATGTGTTTTCTTAAATTGTGTGTAAACACATGGTTCAGAATGAATGTGCATCTGTGTGTTTAAACACTCTGGACAGTAGGGACTTTTGCTTTACTTCACAGACACATTAAACTTTATTATGGAGCTGCACAGGATCAAAACAGCATCAATTATTCAGTTGCAATACACACTGATAGCCTGTTAATGTTGAATTGAAATATGCACAGACTAAACTTAGTCATACAGATGAGCTTGTTAGTAATGATCAATCTTATCACTGGGATTTTAACAACGATTACTCGTATAGTCAAAACAGACATGTTTGAGAGACAAACCAGCCCATCACAAAGTCTCTTTACAGTAATGAATCTTGGCAGACAGTGGAGGAACAGCCTGCTCTAGGTTAACTTTTTGATGTAAGAGGTGCTATTGGGGACAGGCCACATTAATATCTGTATTAAGAGATGAATTGCATACCCACAAAGAGCATCAGGATATGCAGAACCTCATTCCCTGCGTGAATGTTTATTGCTCTTGTGGATGTTTACTGATATGAACTCCTCCTTATACTCATGAAACTTCCCAATAACAACATGGAGATCAGACACTGTATTTGTAATTTGCTAGAATCACACAACATCAATTTAGTCTTTATTTGTTTACATTTTCTAACGCACAAGTTTGCTGTAAGTTCATAAAGCACAACTGCACAAGTCTTGCATGCACTTCTACTTGCTATCCACACTGTTTGTGTGCACAGATTAAATTTTAATACCAAATGAAAGTGGTAGTACTTCCCAAGAGTTTTAGTCTTATAATAAAAGTTCAGGTCTTATAATAAAAGTTAAACATCTTGATTAAGTGAAGTTTCCTTGGATTGGAAAGGCAGCAATTCTCTCCTTCACTCTTAAAAACAAAGGTGCTTAAAATGTTTTTCACAGCGATGCCATAGAATAACCATTTCTGGTTCCACAAAGAACCATTCAGTCAAAGGTTCTTCAAAGAACCATCTCTTTCTTACCTTTTTGTAATCTGAAGAACCTTCTTTCGCCACAAAGAACCTTTTGTGAAACAGAAAGGTTCTTCAGATGTTAAAGGTTCTTTATGGAACCATTTAGACAAAAATGGTTCTTCTATTGCATCGTGAAGCACCTTTATTCTTAAGAGTGTTGTGTTCTTGGTATAATCTCACATGCAAGATGTTACTGCTTTGTACGAGTCTCTGATGATCAGATAAACTGAAGTTGTCACAACCCATAGAACACAGTTCTAAATCTTAAATAACGAAGCACATACAGATTAATTTAATTAATTCAGTTCCAATTAGCTATATATTCAGAACAGATCTGGCCAGTTTTCTGTGCGTGATGCAATAGAAATAGTAACGATGAGAGAGTAATTAAAATCTGAAACAATGACATGGCGAAAAACGAAAGGAATGTGCTTTCATAATCACACAGAACTGAAACAATACACAATTCCTAATTACTACTGAATATAGTCCAATCATTTACAGACAAAATAATTTCTATAGGACATATATCTTCTCAGAAATGGGTTAAGAGTTTTTATACAACTGAGAGGGAGGAAGAAAGGAAGTATCACTGTGGCAGGACTGTGAGAATAGCGTTCACCTCTTCAGCTACAGTCGTCAGTGCAAACTCAAACTGATCCTGAGAAAGACACAGACACAGTACGTGTCAGTATGAAAGAGATTGTGTGTTTCAGTGTATTTGTGTGTATGTGTGTGTACATACCTTGGTCTGAACCATGTTGGGTCTCTGGTCTCTCAGGTGTTCCAGCGTAGCAGCAATATCAATCTCTTTTGCACCTGTAAAGCAAAGAATTGTGTATCATATTTCAATCAGTATTTATACTGACTGTCCACAATGTGCAAAGTATTACTGAACACCCACTGATAATTAATAATCAGCTTTCTTTGTCTTTACCTTTGGCCATTTTATTCAACACCATGTCAATCAAAATGTACGTCCCAGTCCGTCCAGCTCCGTCACTGATGGACAAAAAGCAAGATTTAAAAAAGTAAAAAATAATTAAATAATTAAAATAATAAACCCCACCCTCAGGCCATCTAAGATATAGAAGAGTTTGTTTCTTCATGGGAACAGCTTTCGAGAAATTTAGCATTACATCACAAGCTCACCAATGGATCCTCTGCAGTGAATAGGTGCCATCAGAATGAGAGTCCAAACAGCTGATAAAAACATCACAATAATCTACAAGTAACCCACACGACTCCAGTTCATGTTTGTAAGAAACAAATTCATCATGACAGCCTTTTTACTTTTAAATTGAAAACTTCTGTTCAAAATACCAGTCAATAATCTTTAAAGGGGTCATATGATGCTGCTAAAAAGAACATTATTTTGTGTATTTGGTGTAATGAAATGTGTTTATGCGGTTTAAGGTTCAAAAAACACATTATTTTCCACATACTGTACATTATTGTTTCTCCTCTATGCTCCGCCTTTCTGAAACGCGTAGATTTTTACCAATGATTCCTAATTGCATCTACTTCCGGAAGGCCATAATAAAGTGCTTTTGCTTTCGCACTGAAACACAGCGTCTCCCTGACATGGCTTTATCAACACTGCTGCTGTTCCTGAAACCATGCCTTCTTTCTTTGCGTGCACATTTGGGTGGCATTATGCAAATCTTCCCACATAGTGATGTAGATATGTGGGGGCGTGTTAGAACGAGCCGTTTTAGGTAGGCGTGGTTGACTCTTA